CCCCCAATACCCGTGTTGCTCGCATCGGTGTCGAGCAAAAAGGGCTTAGAAAAATCTGGGTAAATCAAGGGAGGGGCTTTTACCAGGGCGTCCCGAAGGGAGCAGAAAGCAGCCTCCTTCTCTTGACCCCAGTGGAACCGAACCCCTTTAGATGTTAAAGCGTGCAGGGGTTTTGCAATTGTCGCAAAATCAGCGACGAACCGTCGGTAATACGACGCGAACCCAATGAAACTCCTGACCTCTCCCACCGAGGTGGGAGTCGGCCAGGAGCTGACACACTGCGTTTTGGCGGGATCGGTAGCAATACCTGAGCGTCCCACGATGTGCCCCAAATAACGCACCGAATCGCGCAACAAATGGCATTTTTGGGGCTTGAATTTCAAATTAGCAGCCCGCATCTTTAGGAAAACCGCCCGCAACCTCTGGAGATGTTCGTCAAAAGTTTTACTAAAGACGATAACGTCATCCAAATAAATGAGGCACGACTCCCATTGCAATCCAGCCAAAACCAATTCCATCAAACGCTGGAAAGTTGCCGGCGCTGAGTGTAAGCCCATCGGCAACCGGTTGAATTGGAACAGGCCATGCGGTGTACGGAAAGCAGTTTTAGGCTTTGAATCATCGTCCAGAGGAAGCTGCCAGAATCCCGAAAGTAAATCCAGTGTGGAAAAGAATTGCGCTCCTGCCAAGGCGTCCAGCGATTCATCCATCCGAGGGAGCGGGTATGCGTCGGCAACCGAAATTTTGTTAAGACGCCGGAAATCAACGCAAAACCGCAACGAACCGTCCTGCTTTTTAACCAGGACGATCGGCGCTCCCCAAGGGCTGGTGGAAGGAGAAATGATGTCGGCGGCCAACATGTCATCAACAGCCGATTTGACATGGTCCTTTTCGGCGGGACTCAACCGAAACGGATTTTGGCGAATTGGCGCGCTGTCACCCGTGTCAATATGGTGACGCAGCAGGTGAGTACAACCCAAATCGTATTTATTCCGACTAAAAACGTCGGAAAATTCCCGCAGTAGTGTTTTAAGTTGTTGACGCTCTGAATCTGACAGGTCCGTCGATCCCGCACAAAGCGCCTCGAGCCACCCTTCATCGCTGTCCGAATGCGGTCGCGGCGCAGGGACAACGCTGACGTGATTTGCGACGGGTTCCTCACATGGCACCGGCGTTGCGTGAGCAAGCACGGTCCCCTGTGGGACCACCACCGTCTGCGAGCCCACATTGAGGACCGCGATGAAGGGTTCACCGTCCCCTCTTACTATGGTCTGGGCCGGAAGTAAATGAGGTCCACTAACCCCGGCCCTAGACGGCCCCAGCAGAACCCCTTGGGCCCCAACACCCTTAGCGAAGGGCCGCCGAAGTTTCAAGGGAATCAACATTTGCGCCCCCGGAGGGACGCGCACCGTTCTCTCTACGAATGCCGGCACCGTCGCGAACGCCGTCCGAGTCGTAACAGGCGATGGCAGAAACGCCATGCGTCTGCCCGACGGGAGCTCAATACATCCCTGGTCGATCAATATCCTAATCGGCATTTTGGCCAGGAAGTCCGTCCCCAGCAGGCACGGAACCGCCAGCGAGGAGGAAACAAAAATCGGCCCAGACAATTTAATATCCCCAATACAAATTTGGGCACGAATTTGTCCGATGATGCCAAGTGAGCCCCCGTTAGCCGCATAGAATGGTACGTTAACAGGCATCAAAGGACGACTCCGGACAGGGAGAATATTGTAAATCAACTCCGAAATAATGGTCGCCGATGCTCCCGTATCGACCAGGATGCGCACTTCAACCCCGTCGATGTGCCCCACAACGGCCGACGACCCCGACGATGCGGCTACCACACGATCGGCCAGCACGGACCACTGGCCGGGTTCGATATGAGTACCCGGGGTGGTGCGTGATGGTGCGATGGTGCGCGATATCGGCCCCCCTCTCGTTGCGGTGTTTGAGTGCGTGACGGGTGTGTGCGTGGGCCAAACATGTGGGGTGCCGCGACTCGCCGGGTTATGATGGTGGAGCTTGTGATGAGGCCCGTCGTCCCGTTGAGGTGTCGTCCCGCGCTGTCGAGGAGCGCGGCACCCCGAGGCGACGTGGCCCCGGACGCCGCAGTTGAAACACCGCGGGAGCGCCGTTGGAGGAGACGGATGGTTGAAACGGCCCGGCCCGTCCCGGCCCTTCCGTGCTCCTGTCGCCTGTTGCGGTCGGTGGTCGACGGCATAGAGCTCCTCCGTCGGAATGGTGGCTGCAGCCACCGCACGCCCCGCCGATGCCCTGCTGGCTTTCTGCCGCAGTGACAGGAGGTTGGCGTGGAGGAGCCGCGCCGCCTGGAGCGATGTCATCTCCTCGTCCTCCCGGGCGATGACCGCGATGTCAAGGTCGTCTGCCAGGAGGAGGATCTTCTCCGTGACCATCGCGTCCACGCCGTCGTCGTCCATACGAGGGAAGGCCGACTTAGCCATCGCCAGGAGGCTCGTCCGATATGCTAGGGGCGACTCCTTCTCACCCCGCTTGCGGTCGTAAAATTGCTGTCGGCATTCAGCCGATGGTCCATAGACCCCGCCCAGCAGCTGTAGTGCCATCGGTAACGTAGACCGCTTCTCTCTCGGCGCCGATGTGAGGGCGGCGAGCGCGTCGCCGTCGAGGAGCGCCGGCAGCGCGCAGAGAGCCTCCTCATCGGACCATTTCGCCATCTCCTGATGGGCGAGGAAACGTCGGCGAAAACCGGCCCAGTCCCCCTCCGCGCCGATGAACTCCTTCAGCGGGGGCAGTCTCTGATGAAGCGCAGCGGTCGTTGTGGACTCCCGCAGGCTGATGTCACCACCACTCGGCTGTGCGTCGGTGCGAACGGCCGATGGGATCGCCTGTCGCGCTTGTGATGACGTTGCAGCTTCAGCGACGGCGATGTCGGAGCGGATGTCTAGGCTGGCCACGCCCCGAACAGCTGTAGCGTCGATGGCGGGAATTTCAAATTCGGACTGCTCCGAAATGGCGGGAAGGCGCCCTGGTCGTTGGCTCGCCTCGCCCCGTGTTGGATCACCGGCCCCTAGTCGCGTGATGGTCTCCAGCGTGGCGGCAGCGGCATACAGCAGCTCCGCCAGCCTCCCGTGAGCCAGCCGTAACGCGTCTGGCTGCGGCCCCTCTTCATTTCGATGCCCCGGTAAGGAGGCGTCAGGCCCCGGCTGCACCTTGTCTTGTGGAGCCGTCTCGGGCTCGACGATCTCGGCAGTGTCTTCCTCCTGCGGTACTTTGGCCCGCGCTGTTTTCCGCGTGCCATGTTCGAATTACTTCTGACACCAGTTGAAGTACCGGTGAAGACGCTTGACGCCGAGGTTGAGGCACACGTATATTTATTTCACAATACGACAGTGGGCATATACACACTCGAGGGGGTATCGGCCCCCTCACCCGTATAACTCGGGATACACCCCTAGCTAACTCTGTCCTAGCCCCGAATCCTCCACTAATGGGCTAGGGGAGGCTAACTGGCCCGACACTGGTAAGTCGGGCCCGGTACCCGGAGTTCCAGACCAGCTCTTACAAGAGCACCGGCTCTGGCTTTCGGGACCACGCCGCTGGCTCAGTCCTGTCCGGCCCTGAAAAGGACATCGAACTAGGGGAGTCCAGGGCTCTATCTAAGACGTCTTCAGTCTTCTTCCCTTAGCTTAAACATAACTGACTCGAGCCCTTTGAACATCCCCTTTTATACCCAACCCCTCCCTGAGGGGTGGGGCCCCGGGGGATCATAACGTTCGAACCAGCCCCCCCCCAGGGTGTCTGGCTCGGACGTCGTAGAGGGCACCTCCTCGTGCACTTACGTAGCCCCGCCCACTGTGTTTGTTTTCCATAGGCTGCCATGCATAACGGGCCCTCTCTTTAACACCCCTACACTAGGTCCATATCTAAACAGCTTGGAATTACGGGACCCCCCCCTTCCCCGGTCGTGATGTCCAAGATCCGTCTGCTTCTGATGATGATTATTATGACTGCAACGATGTTGCTGCTGCTTAAACATGATGTTGTTCATGATTGTCATAACGATGCTGATGATTACGATGACGACAGCGATGCTGCTGACAACGATGAGAGCGATCGTGCATTCCAAGGCGCGGTATCTCAGACAATCGATATTTCACAACAAGGATAAAGACACAGATCCCCCGTATAGCCGTTGACAGACACTTGGGGCAAGTGCACCTATGAAGGCTGGCACGGGGGGTGGGGTAACTAGCACCACGCCTGGCCGCCTTTGTCTCCCCAGGGTTGATGTTCACACCGCACCAGGTACTAATTCAAGGCTGAGTCGACCTAGGGGTGTTCCAGGACTGGTTAAAATATTCGCCACTGATATTGGTCGTGAGCGGGAATTTAACTCTGGTCGCTGGGTTCGTACACATACACAGAAAGACGTGCACACAGACACGAAACAAAGATAAACATCACCCATTGAAGGTACAGATACTACAATATAAGTGAAAGTCCACACACTTACATGTACACAAACACAGTGTGAGATTTCCCAGCGGAAAAGCGTTCGCCGCTTATGTCAGATGTCTCACGGTTCAGTGACGAAAGGCCGCCCTGGTTAATACTGCAGGTGTATTAACCCTGAAATATGCGCCGTCTGCTTCACAGTGAATTGGTCCAAATAAGATAAATTAGCAAAATCACCCGAAAACGACATTGGAATTACACAGAACAATCATCCCCTGTCCGGTTAAACCACTGCAGACTGTGTTTGTGCAAGACAAGCAGCGGTTTTCTGCGTTATAGCCTTGCGCGACAGGAATGGCGCGAATTTAAAATATACGAAATTATAACTTTTTTATTACATTTACAAAAACAAAGATCCCCAGTTTTAGCCTCAACAGACTATTGCGGAAAGTGTTGTTAGCGAGCACCGACTAAGGCCAGAACGGCACACGAGGATGTGGGTTTGCCCATTAGCAACCACACCCGGCCGCCTTTGTCTCACACAAACGCGTGCGCGCACTCACGCGGCGTCGCTGCTGGCGTGGAGGTGCTGCTGCTGTTGCTGCTCCTGTCCCGGCAGCTGCTCGCTCGCGGGTCGGGGAGGCACGGGGCCCCGCGGGGTCCCCCTGAGTCCCGCGCGCTCCCCCGGGGCCGGACGCCCCGAGCACATTGACACCAGGGCCTCCTTCACCCCGCCGCCTGCAGGGGTCGCGTCGGGACCCGAAGGGGTCCCTCCCGCGGGGGAGCTTGCCGACTGACCCATCTCGCTTTGCCTCCTCGACGCTCCTGCAGATGATGTTGCTGGTGGTGGTGGTAATGGTTGATGTGATGATGAGGGTGGTGGCACTGCTGGTGATTCTGCTGCTGCTAATGGTACTGATTATTGGGATGATAAAGCTGGTGGTGGAGAAATCGTTAGTGATATTAAAGGTGCTGGTGCTGACGGAGGTGGTGGTGCTGGTATTGATGATGTAAATGCTGCTGTCGGTGATTATGATGGAGCTAAAGGTTAAGCTGGTGCTGCTGCTGATGCTAGTGCTGCTGATGATGGTGCTGTTCGTGCTATTGCTGCCAATTACGGTTATTCGCTGTATCTGCTGATGCTGATTATGCTAATTATGATTATGATAATAGTGACTGCTGATGAGTCAAAGATTGCTGCTGATGATGAATCCGTCACTGATAGTGCCGCTGCCTTAACTGATGATGTTGCTACTTTTTGCTCTTGCGGCTGATTATTTTAATTCTGCTGCTGCTGATGTTGTTTCTTCTCTTGTTGCTCCTGCTGTTGTCCCTGCCGATGTGACTTCTGGTGTTGCTGCTACTGTTTAATCCCTTCGCCTAGCTCTGATCTCTCTGATCGCCGGGACCGGCTCTGTTCAAAACGCGCTGGTCGCATGCATGGACCTACACGTCAACTTCAGCCTCACGCGTGGGAGGAAGGAACGGGGAGGGAGGCAGCAGGGAGGAGGGAGCAAGAGAGAGGAGAGTACATTCACTGTTATAGAGCAGGGGAGAACAGGGACGGTGAGAGAGAGTAAGGCGATGGGAGGCAAAGGCTGTAGAAAAAAAGGGAGAATGAGCAGCAGAGGAGGAGAGGAATCATGTGGATATGAGAAGCTTTGTTGGCCGTGCCTGCGAATGTAAATGACAGCGCAGTGCGCTAACCATTGCGCCACCGCTCCCCTCACATGCTTCAGTGACTTCACAGGCTAGACGCCTCATTCCCATGCACAGGTCCCGTTTTACGGAAAAAATATCTTATTCAAATAACGCAGGGACCTTTGGGTTACGAATTATTAATACACAAATGCCTGGCTCTTGTGTCCATCCCCTGCTGGATGAGGCCCCCCCACCGCGCCGTTGCGGGTTGTGGGTTTTTTTTCCCATACTTCACTCAGGTGTTGAAGGCATTGAGCGTATACGTGGAAGCATAAGTACAGTACAACAATTGATTTTGCTGCAATGTCCTCGGCGTAGGTCCGCAACCTGTAACACCTATTCCAGGATTTGGTCAATCATTTCATTATTTATTACATTGGTAAATCATTAAAATCGCTTATTGCATCAACGCATATCATCTGTTTATTATAAAGCTGAGCCAGAGCGCTGGGTTTATTGTATCCTGTTACAGCGCAGAGGCAAGCGGACTGCACTTTTGAGTTCGATTCTCGACGAGGGCTAACATCGGTGGAAAATTAAATCTGAGCAAGTCCTCTTCGTCAACCCGCAGTGGCCAAGAGGAAGAGAAGACCTAACGGGCCAGATGGTGGGATGAGGCTGTCAGGCAAGCTCATGTAGATCACTGGGCATCTATTGTGCAGCAGCTGCGGGGTCTCGGTAGAAATTTGCAGGTAGCGAGGTGTAGTGGTGGTGGTGGTGGCATCACGGCCTTGGCCACGATGACTTCTAGATCTGATTGCTGCAATATGGGATGAATGAACCCCGCACGAAGTCTTGGACTCAGGCATTGAGCCGGGTGTTTTGGCAGGCACCCTGCAACATGTGCAGACAGCAAGGCGTAGATAAGCCCACGATACAATGGCTCCCTTCAACCAATACATATTGGATGTCGTGAAGGGAATCTCGAGTAATGAGAAGACATCACCGAGAGGTAGTGCGATTGCCACTGGTCAAATATGTTCGCGGCTCAAACCCTGTGGCCACCCCGGTCAATAGAGCTAGTGTATGGACCGAAAAAAATACGTGCCATCTTCACAGTGGACTTTATAAATCCCAGGACGTTTGAAGAAGACTAAGCCGGTTGTGCTGCCTCATAGTCTTAATTTTATAAACGACTCTAAAATTATTTAACTGGGAAGCTACATTGCACCCTACTAACGCCCACTTGCTGGGCAGTGCTGCTTGTACATTGTGCCGCGTAGGAACAGCTGCCTCCGGGTGTCCCCTGCTGCAGGGCGCCTTGAGATGCACTGCATGGGAGGGGTTAATATATATGTTGTTTATACGTTACAAAAAGTACATAGACCATCAGCCATGATCAACCAACTGCAAGACGAAGGCTTGCCCAAGCCGTCGCTATCTCACGCGATTCTGCGATGTAACACTCCACCCAGCACCTGCACACAAACTGTTTTCGTTGCTTCATCTCGGTGTAAGTCCTCTCGCACGCGTTCAATTCCTTGGTTGCTGCTCCGTCATTATTCTTGAACATCGGCCACGTCCCTTTTAGCAATCACGTGCCCTCTGCCGAGGCCCACTCACTTTTCATGGTTTGGACGCTCCCTCTACCTTGCGTGTGTTCTCTAATCTACGTGCTCCTTCCTTCTCTCAGTATAATTCCCAGCGTGCGCCTCTCCGTTCTTCTCTGTGCACGTCTCAGTTTTTTGTTCAATATTTTTCGTTCATGATCACGGTGTTTCTTAACCGTGTGTGACTACCAGGCGGCACAATGCACTGATTGAAAACTCTCTCTCCTCGGCCACATCGCTGTGTACATTCTCATTGTGGGGTTCGGTTTTCCAAAAGTATTCCACCCTGTTCTCTTTCGCCTCTTTATTTCATCGTGTTGATTCCTGTCCGCCTTCAATAAACGCCATTGGTGCACATAGTTTGCTGTGTTTTTCGGCTAGGACTATTCAAATATCGATGGCCACGTGTTAACCCGAATCCAGGTCGCCCCGGGTTCACAGCGTAATGCGTCAATCGCTGCTCCACTTCGCGAGCAGTTAATGGCAGTTGTATTCTGGACATGCAGACACCCGCCATAGGAAAGTGGAATTTTCACCGGCTAAGGGCCGTTATCGGAGATGAACAACGTCCCATCGCTCGTTTCGAGGACGGAGATGCTACGGGGCAGCGGTAACACTTGTGCTTCACCAGCAAGTAAAGTCTGGGTTTGATACCCAAACAATGTATATTCCCCGTCTGTTCTGCGTGGGTTTTCTCTGGGTTCTCCAATTTTCTCCCATAGCTAAAACATGACAATGTAACTGGTATTGAGCGAATGTTATAATTTTGAAAATGTCCCTACAATTTACTCGTTAAATTTTACAAACAGCAGCAGCAACATCATGCCCCTCCTGCGAAAACTTGGCAGGACTCTCGTGAAGAATCGTTTTGAGACTCAGTGCTGCTTTCCTGGGTCAATAAGCGGAATAATAATGATGATGATAATATTTTAGGGTAAAAGAGAACGGATCTCACAGAAGGAGGGGAGCTATGGCGAGGCATGGACCTCTATCAGCTGTGAGGACATCTCCAGCTTAAACCCATGGGGCGAATCCCCAGACACGTAATGTAAGGAGCCACCTCGGGTTCGGGGCAAACGGGGTTGGGTGTGATGTTCATTCGAGACTTACATACACCTCCAGACTTGACCCGGATCACTCTCGCGATTGAGGCTGCCCTGGTCTCCTGAGTTCTCAGGAGAAGAGGTCAGACGAGTCTAGGTGGAGAGTGGGTAAAGAAACGAGAGATGAGAGAGAAAGAAGATTGATGACGGGAAGCGAAGGGGATGTGAGAGCGGAGGCGGGGGAGAAGATGAGAGACCAAAGCAGCAAAAGGGAGATGAGGTGAGGGAAAATGCTGAGAGGGGAGATGAGGGGAGAGGGTGGAGAGGACGCGAGTCGGGTTTCTCCCTCTCGGGGCAGTGATGCCAAAGACATTCCTGCGACTGATATCAAGTGGATCCATCAGCGAGCAAAGGACACAACGATACATATGTAATAAACGACTCTGTCAGGCTCTCTTGGTCTCCGTTGTCGTTTATTTAGGTTCTTCGTATCGCACCCCGCTGGTCCTCGGCCGGACCCGCGCCGCCTCCGCCGCGCACCCCGCGCACGCTCCGTGTGGCCCGCACTCGCTGGTGGCCGCTCCGCTCTCTCCGTGTGCCCCGCACACGCCGCCAGCCACACCGCTCGCTCCGTGTGCCCCGCACACTCCACTAGTCACTCACTAGCCACGTGTGCCCCGCACACTCTGCTAGCCCCTCACACACCGCTAGCCCCGTCTACCCCACGCACACCGCTGGCCGACGGTGTGCGTAGGTCTGCGACCACGTGGCAGATGGCGCCGCTCCTCCCGCACTGCCCAGCGTGGCTTCCCCTATTCTCGCTCCGTTCCAACTCCTCGATCTCTTCCGGCTCTCTCCCTATATCCTTCCCATCACGTCCTTGACTCCTCCTTCCCATACTGCCCCCGTCTCCGCCCCCCGTTCACCTCGTCTCCCATTGGAGCCGAGGTGAGCAGTGGCTCCTCCCACATGCTCCGCCGACCAGGCTCCGCCCCCCAATGCTCCGGGCCGTGTGATTGGCGCGGAGGCCAGCAACCACCCCGTTAATGCTCGCATTACATGACCCCCCCCCCCTGATGAAAAAGCCAGCCGTCCCCGGCTGCAGCATAACAATAATAATGCGAGCAACAACATGACAATCAGGAATCACAATACATAACGGAGATTAGAACAACAACAATTCACGAAACGGGAGGGACTTAGAACGAGTGCGGGTCGCCGGCCCGTCCTGCACGGGGGGCGGCCCCCGCACAGACCGTGATCTTGACAGGGTTTTAGGAGCGGCGGGACCAGAACCGCCCGCTGCTGGTGGAGGCCTGTCAATCCCAGCGTCTCGTTCCCCAGAGAGGCCCGTCGTCGGGGCCTCCTGCAACTGCACCCGCGGCGGGGTGGGAGGGGCAGCGGGGCCAAGTGTCCCCGTCGCCGTGGTAGGCCCACCTGGTGCAGGAATCCCTGTGTCCGGCAGGATCACAGCCGGTCCGTCTACAGGAGGCACGACAGGTGCGCTTGCCGGTTGAACAGGTAAGGTCAGTGGCGCGTCGGCCGCGACAGACACTGGCAAGGCAACATTATGAGATGACGCATCCACCCGCGGGGCCACGTAGGGTTTCAATCGAGACGTATGAACGTACCAGCGCCGCGATCCGAACCGAACACGCGCGGACTGCGGATTAGGAACCTCAATAAGCACAACCGGCCCCTGCCACGGTTTGTGCAACTTAGGGGAGGTCCCCACCGGTACCTGTGGGCATTGCAGCCAGGCCATGTCCCCCACCCGCCATGAGGACTCACCATGCGAGCGCCGTGCACAACGTTCGTTCCGGGCCTGGGTCTTGGCCGTAGCCAATCGGGCCGCCTCCCGCGCCTCTGCCACGCGATGAACGGTGTCCCGAATATACTCAGGGAGAGGCTTGACAGGACCCTTCGCCCGCGTGCCCAGTTGCACTTCTACCGGCGGCACATTCTCGTGGCCGTACATCAAAAAGAAAGGTGAGTACCCTGTCGGCGCATGTGGCATCATCCGGTATGCGGAGAGCACCCCAGGGATATGCAAATCCCAATCAGCCTGCTTTTCGCTAACCGTATGACAGAGCATGGTCGACAGGGCCTACGTATTTTATTCCCCTGAGCGGACGGCGGAAAGGGCCCCAAAATATCCAACGCCACCAACTCGTTAATCCGTGACACCTGTATGGACTGCACTGGTGGAACATATGGGTGTTTAGG